ATATATATGCGTGCGTGCGTGCGTGCGTGCGAGAAAAATTTATATAAGGTGTCAACCTTATACTGTAGCGCACCTCAAAAATCCATCCAAAACGGTTGTTTCGATGTCAAACAACCCTACAATTGATCATCATAGCTTTGAAATGTATAGATATAAAAAAATAAATAAATTTCAAGTCCAAAAAATAGTACATATTTTAACACATTATCTAGATCGTTCATTTTCAAGATTTTTGAGTGCTTATAGATCTGCACAACTTTTGGGGCTTTAAATTTCGTAATTAGGGAGGAAAATGTATTTTTTGCCCATCACAAGGGTCTTGGGCAACAGAACAACCTTTTTGGGTGGATTTTGAGGTGCACACTGCTTTTATAGTTGAGAGTCAGTAAACTTAGGTGGGCTGGCCATGTGCAACACTTGTTAGGGAGTGCGAGTTGGTTCAAATGGAAGGTTAAAAAAGAGCAAAGGGTAGGTCCAAAATGACATAGTTGGAAGTAGTAAGAAAAAAATATAGGGACTTATGGCTTCACTGAGGGTATGATCCCTAATAGAGCAGAATGACAGACCAAGATTCATATAGCGGACCTTAAATAGGGAAAAGGATCTGATGATGATGCTAACTCTACTTCTACAATGGACACCCTATACAAGCTGCACCCATATATATATAGTGAATTGTTTCATGCGAACTATCCCATATGAAACCTCCACTGTCCAACTTAATTGGACTATGAATATTGTAGCATGTCCTTGCAATCTCTAACATCCAACTATCTTGGACAGTGGAGGTTTTATACGGGCTAGCCCGCATAAAGTCGTGTCCTATATTCTCATCAATTTAACTAAGAATATAAATCAAGAGTTGTGAGTCAACTTTGGGTTTCTAGGTACACATCCTTCTTGAATTGCTTCATCATGCGTATCCTTTTTCCAAGTCTATAAGTTCCATTACATTTTGTAGATTCTTTTCACATGCTTGTTTGTGGTAAGAATGTTTGAAGTAATACCACAAATCATCTTTTATACGTTCTATTTGGAACTGATGTCTAAGTGTACATAATTTTTTTAGATATGCAGGTTTAAGGAGAGACGATGGGATTTAAAACTACTTATTGGATCTGGTGGAATGCCATCATCCCATTCTGCCACAGTTACTGCTTTGGCAGTAGCTATTGGGTTCAAGGATGGCTTTGAAGGATCTGTATTTGCTGTTGCGATGGTCTTCGCTTGTGTTGTATGTTTCTTCCCTTTGAATAACTAATGGAACCTGCAATTTTATTTTGATTAGTGTTCTTATTATGTTTTATGTATAGGAAAGTATGATGTAGTCCAATGGGCTTGAAAAATCATATATCTTTGGGTTCGTAGCTATCATCATCTAGTGAAATTATGGTCGGTGCTGCATAGTGAGTGGACCCACCACAACACGACATGACACCAAGGATGGGTCCCTCTCTCTCTCCATCACCATCCATTTGTCATCTAGATGTTGATGATCCAGTGAAACTACGGTTTTCCATTAATCTGTCGCACCATCATATACTTGCCATTTACTTCTCAATCCTCCGAAATATAAAAGATTTACAGCTTTAAACTTTGTTATTGAAATTTTTTGGCCCATTGGTGTATGTTTCTGCTCATCAACAGTATGGGATAATCAGTATTATGTTGGTTGGCATCATTTCAGGTGATGTATGATGCGTTTGGTGTAAGATTACATGCTGGGCGTCAAGCAGAGGTATGGACACTCTGCTCATGAAAGCTACTTCGATGGTTAAATCTTGTAGGTTAAAGTAGCCTTTTTGTGCGTGTCCTGAGATTTCGCCGTTTTTGGTTCTAATATCTTTTCATGCTATCTCATTTTTCTATTTGAATGTGAATCACAACAGTTTGATTAACTGAAAATGTTTTGTTTTGTTATGTCTTTTTTCTTAATATAAAAATGTTCATTATCTGAAAGCGGAATGCATTAATTCATCCCAAACCCGAGGATCCTCAACATCATTGACAAAGGTCACCATTATATGAGTAAAATACAGTCAAGGAACCTCAGTGTCATTGATAAATGTTACCACCATATGAGTAAAATACAGCTGTTGGAGACTATTCCCCCAAAACTGCCTCAAGGCTAAGAAACAACACTCTTCAAATCAGATATCTAAACCACAGCCCCACACAGAGATAGACACAAAGAAAGAGAATACAGGCACCAAAGGCTAACCCTTTCTGCCTCATATCTCCACCCAAAATACAAATGGAGAAAAACAAATTCTGAAGTTTTGTTCTCTTATTCACGCTAAAGCAGTTATAGGAATGCAATTTGCATTTGGGTGAGAATATGCTTCTCTAAATGAGAAAAATCTCACAAAAGCTTGTACACCTTATTTGTGAAAAAACCTCTTTCCTAATGATGCCGGGGAAATATATACATGTCTTTTATTAGTGAATTTCTGTATATATGGGGGTTTCTCTAATTTGCATTTGGGTTAGAATATACTCCTCTAAATGAGAAAACTCCCACAAAAGCTTGTACACCTTATTTGCGAAAAAGACCTCTTTATACATGTCTTTTATTAGTGAATTTCTCTATATATGGGGGTTTCTCCAGGTTTCTCATTTAAATAAATTTCCATTACGTAGATTTGATTCCAAATAGAACAATTTAGTTATTGTTACAAAGAACTATGTTAACAATATTTGGTGTACCTTTGATAGAGAAAAACAATAGAGATATATGCAGGAGAGTCAGGGGTGGAAAGAGTAGATGAGAGCTGCCTTTACTTTCCATTTTAACTAGGGAAGAGTAACATGACCTAGATAATGACATCATATGCGTACAAGGGTTAGAAAGACAAGGAAAACTATCATTGCTACCCAATTATGTACTTCAGAAAAACTAAACAGCCTAACCAAGGATGCCAGACACCGATTACTGTATTTCATTTTTTAAAATGTCCTGAGTATCCTAATGACAAAATTTGAAACATCTATTTATGGTTTTCGTCATATATATTGTGGCATATATAAAAATACAGAAAGTATGGCCTGTAGTGTATATTGTAAATGTCGTTTTTACTAGATTATATATTGTAAAGATTCTATATCTATATGCATTTTCATATTATGTTCATGATATACATCAGGTGTATCATATTATACATTTTTTAGGTACATACATATTATCATGCAAACTTTATATTTTGTTTGTCATTATTGTATTTAAATCATTTTCGCATTTCTTGGTAACAGAATTCTGGACATTTACAAGTGTGTGGGTATCGTAGGTTCGAGAATCCTTTCTTAGAGCAAGAATAGGAGCAAAGATCTGATTGTTTCCCAAGATGTTCATTGCCCACATATGTTTTTTTCCAATCAGTTACATTACCATCATGTCTTACAGCCTAAGCGTTCAGCTCATCGAACATATGAGCAATTATTGGCACTTTTTGCTTGTACTTAATGTTCATGAGTTTCTCTAGAACATTTAGAAGCATCTTTCCATTTGCTTATGTAGGTTGATGTTGATAGATTATCCTTTATCTGAGTGTTTGAGTTTTTTGTAGGTATTGAACCAAATTGTGTATGAACTGCCAGCTGAACATCCTCTGGCCGACACAAGACCACTCCGCGAACTTCTTGGCCACACTCCCACTCAGGTAGAAAGCAAAGCATTATCTTTTCTTACTCATAGAACTTCTTATCATTTCATAATTTCACATCATTGAGTCCCACATTCATAAATTGAGATGCTCTTATGGCACCAAAGTATTTTATCTTTATTTATGGGCAAGTCCTTGTGCATAGTTACAAGGAGTTGTGGAATTTTTCTTTCAAAACTGTTGCAACATACAAAACTTCAAATTTATGGATTGATTTTGGATTCAAAGTTTGTTAGTAAATGTTGGGTTTAGAGAAGAATTATTCCATTTTATGGTAGTGTATATTACAGTCATACTTCTCCCATTATATGTGCATCTCATTTTTTTTGGGGGAAAATATACATCTCATTTTAATTATAATTATCTTTTGTCAATGGATAAGAAGGTGCACAAGAGGGGATAACCTATATATATTCATCCCCAGTTATTTTTCAAATTCTAAACACCTTGGAGTGTCAAACAAGATTCCATGAAATTCTAAACACCTTGGAGTGTCAAACAAGATTCCATCAAAATTATGTTTCTACTTTCCTCAAGGAGGCAACTTCACATTTCTACAACCCTATCTTGAGAAGCTTCACTCTACCCAGTATTTTCCATTTGAAGATTAAGATCCCCCATACTCACCCATCGAAACTCAAACCTTTACAAGCAATTTTAAGGATGTTCCTTTCATTCTTCCACCATTATTTGCCTTGCCCTTACTCATTTGGAAATTATCTCATTAATCCTTTCTTAAACCCCAAGAATTGCAAAATGAGAGGAGTGCAAAGGTTAAGTTGAAATGTGAACCAGGAGATGGCAAACGTATGAATAAAATAAGCCCATACTTCCCCCAAACGCAGAATTTGTCGGAAGATACTCGATTGCCTATCCTCACATCACATAAAAATTGAGGAATTAAAACCCCTAGGTTGTGGATGATCACCAATCAGAGTATTGTCCTTGACAGTCAACAGCCATCCAAATTTGGGCATGAGAGCCTATTAAGTGATTTACCTAAGATTATCACGTTCGGCATTGATATCTAAACGTTTTCATTACTATCCCTTGAAGGCATGGAGGACCCTTCCAACGGGCAGAACATGCATGCCAACTTATAATCTTCCTTCATGAAACCCTTCAACCCGTCATAAGCTTACTGAAACCCATGGACCCCAAACCTAAGGTGGATATTTTGGGAAAATCTTGGACACTGTGATTTTTATTTATACTTTTATGGGAATAGGTTGGTGATTTGTCACATATCCTTGGGGAGATAACAAGACCATGAACTCCTTGGCTAGAGAGGGTGGTTACATTATATGGTAAGGGATAGTTACAAGTGCCCCTAGATAATACCAGAGTTCACTATAAGATAATATTTTTGCACGAGTTTGTTATCAAATTATCAGATGTTTCATGGGCCTTTTCCACAAATAATCTCTCTCTCTCTCTCTCTCTATATATATATATATATATATATATCCTTTTCTTCAACCAGCATCCTCCTTGATTAGTTGATGAGATAGATAATGGCAGATAATGGCAGTGTGTACCTTGTCTTTGTGCTTTATATTTGGTTTTCTGAATAGTACAAATGTTCTCAGGTCATTGCTGGGGCAATGCTAGGATGCGTCACAGCCATTGTTGCGCGCATCCTTTCCTTGTTGTAGTCAGCATTCCAGCTTTCTACGGGAAAGAGAGGTATTTTTGTTGATTACTGGGATATTATGAGGAGGTCACTCTACAGGAAAGAGAGGTATGGTTGTTGATTACTGGGATATTATGAGGAGGTCACTCTACAGGAAAGAGAGGTATGGTTGTTGATTACTGGGATATTATGAGGAGGTCACGAGATGAGAAGTTGCCTGCATGGGCTCGATCCTCTTCATGGAGTTGTAACCGAACTGTTTGCTTGGGATTGCTGCATAAATTCTTGTTTGTCTGGTTAGATAAACCTGTTGATTTAGTTGTTCATTAGTAATTACTGTCATTCACTATCTCTCTGTCATTCGATTTTTAGTAATGTAACATTCATGAATCATAAATGTTTCTGCGTGTACTATATATATAAGATAAACTCTTAGTCAGGTTGGAAATTTGAATGGCCTTTGCATGTACTTAATTATAGGCCCATTTTTCTGAATCATTGTTACTTGGCATGCTTATTTTAACGTCGCTCATATTTTCCTCTTTGTTGTGTGCGTGCATACATGTGCATGTGTGTGTGTTAGAGAGAGAGAGAGTGTGTGAGAGAAGGAGATTTGGTTTCATTGACATTATTAAATATCCACACTCGGATGCACACACAGGAAGTTGGTTACCTACAATACTCAGAATATAGTGTGATGGATTGGTGAAATGCACTGGTTTGGTTTGGTGGAGGTGGGGGTTGGGGGGGGAAGGGGGGGGGTGGACGAGAGAGAGACTCCTGGGGTGCTCACAGATGATAGAAGGCACTTGAGCTGACCATAGCAGAGGGTGATTCCAGGGTGATCACCAAAACAAAAAGTAGGTGGCTATTATTTGCTTTTGAGAGAGAGAGAGAGAGAGACCACTAGCACTAGCTAAATCCTCGATGAGGGATGAAGCTGGACAATATGCTTATAAGCATCTAGAGTGAGAAACTCATGCAGCACCGGTGATGTGCACTGCTGAGCAAACATCTTTCCAGCCACCCTATATATTCCCTTTCGAAATGCCTCAATCCCGACTTCTCTCTCTATCCTTATCATCTCCTCGTCCAGCACCCTTCCAAACAGCTCCAGTCCCATTCTCACTCCTTTCACTCCATCTCCATCCAAAACTGCACCATGTTTCATCCATTGCCAAACTTGAGCCCTACTAATCTCTGCTGTGGCTGCATCCTCCATTAAGTTATACAGAGGAACAGACCCAGTTCCATTGAGCCATGCTGCAATATATTGGATCCCAACTCTTGTGTTTAGGCGTAAGCCCTCAAGTGATCGAGAACCACGAGGACGTTGTATGAGGTCTTCGTCTGTTAAGTTAGCAGCATCTAAACGCTTAGAGCTTTGGATCTGGTTAGGCTGGTTTGCCATGTGAGAGTTGAAGACCTCAATGGCCACCTGAACCAAGCCTGGGTGTGCAACCCATGTGCCATCATGACCTGCTCTTACTTCACGAAGCTTGTCTTTGTGTACGAGGTCTAGAGCCGCTTGGTTACCAGCTGGATCGTTCTTGATGGGAATCTGAGCTGCCTGCTCCCATACACACACAGGTGACGTGTGTTATAATTGTTGTAGTTGGTGTTATTATGGGAAGGCAGTCTTTACAAAGTTTATATATGATATATTGGATGCTGGCAGATTGTCAGCTATCTGCTCTTAAAGAGAGTCAATGCAGATTAATCACTGTTCTTGATGATGGACATTCAAACAAGTTGTGTTAATCTGCACCATCCACATTGGAGATTACACTAGCCACATTGGAAATTGATGGTAGATGCCTTGAGTGTGTGCCGAATACCATGTACAACTTGTGTGTGCTTTACAATCAATATCTTGGTGTGTGTTCACAAAATTCACATTATAGGATATTGTCAACAAACCCTTTTCTTTATTGTTGTCGTTGTTGTTGTCGAGGATGGAAGGTGTACAAGGATATCGAGATGAATATGTAGAAGTGGATTCTACCTTTACTATTGACTATTTTATATCCTAGCCTAATACCATCGATTCGACGGATGTAAGGTGTTGGAAAGAGGATGGGACACATCAGATAATGTCCTGGCCCTAAGGTCTTGCACACCAGATGGGTTTTGCTCTCTCATTTGCGACCCATTCATTGTTTAGATCGTTACTGGGCTAAGATTCAAAATAGACAAGCTAGATATCTGAATTCTATCTGATCATCTAATCATTCCAATTATTATTATTATTAGGAAACATATTCAATGGGTACACTGAATTTTGTGCAGCACTTTTGTACCACCCAAGCCATCAAATTTTTTATGGACTTTGAGTGGAAGAATGACATAACCCAGCTGTCCTTAGTTGACATCTGACAGTTGAGGCAATGTGGAAGTACTGTAGGAAATTTAGAGCACTCATTGTGTATGAACCATGATTATCATTATTGCCATCCTACTACACTAGTATTAGTGAGTAGTAGTATTTTTTTTTTTTTGAGAATGTTAAACGTATGTGAGTAGTAGTAGTGTTAGTAGCAGTGATAGTAGTATCATTCATACTTATATTATTAGTACTAATAATTGGAGTAGAAAAGGAGAAAAATACCATGCCACCCATAGCATGCACCCCGCGCTTGTGGCAAGTGTGGATGAGGAGGTCGGAGTACGACTTCATGAAGTGTTGGGCCATCCCCACTTGCACTCGGTCTGGCAAGAGGCGGTCAGGGTGCGCTCTAAAAGTCTTGACATAACTGAAGATGTAATCCCACCGCCCACAGTTAAGCCCAACAGAGTGGTCACGCAACTCGTAAAGGATTTCATCCATTTGGAACACTGCTGGAAGCGTCTCTATGAGCACTGTTGCTCGTATGCTACCCCTTGGAATGCGAGCGGCGTCCTCTGCCCTCTCGAACACTGCATTCCATATCGCAGCTTCCCTGAACAAACAATTGTGTCCATTAGCACTAAAATAAGTATTGAGTCGGCTTTGTTTCAATTAAATTGTTGGTTTTGGTTCTTTGATCGAAGAGGTTCAGGCTTGGGGGCCATAAGAGTAGCATTAGAGGTTTCTGTCAAAAAAAAGAGTAGCATTAGAGGTTTCCAACCTAGTTAACATGACACCAAAACCATGAATAAATCCTATGAGAAGTTACCATAACTAAATCCAATGAAGGTTCTAATGCAAGGTTGAAGTCTTAAACGTACCCAAACCCAAGAAAACTAATGCCTAACCATTGAAGACTTTAGCCTTTCTATTTATTTATATAAAATGTAACCTGTTGTAAGAAAATAGATATAAATTTCAGATAAGGAAATGTCTCGGAAAAACGTAGAAATGGTCCATTAATATTAAAAAGAGTTCAATTTGTTTTTTCCCAAATCAAATGTTTCAGATTGTGAGCATGCATGTTGCTCGTCTTAAGCTGTATCATATACTTGGAGTGGATTGAAGATCTAATGGTCTTTACCAAGAAGAAAGAATGAGCGTACTCTGATTAGTTGTCATAATCGGATTCTGATCCATCATCGGGACCCGGTGAGTAGGGTTTGGGTTTAGTCCAGCCTGGGCCTAACTGGGTTACGTAGATCCAGGCGCAGTTGTAACCATTCTGGTAGATAGGGTCCGAGTTGGCCTGACGTGGAGCCCACCAGATTCAGGTTGGGTTTGAGTCTGCCTCGGATCCTGCTAGGTCAAGTCTGGGTTTACATGCCTAAGTCTTTGAGCGCATACTACAGAGAGAGAGACCTAACTCTTTGAGCGCATACTAGATAGAGAGAGAGACCTAACTCTTTGAGCGCATACTAGATAGAGAGAGAGAGAGAGAACGTTTTTAAAAGCAAGTGAGAGAGAGAGAGACGCCTAACTCTTTGAGCGCATACTAGATATAGAGAGAGAGAGAGAACGTTTTTAAGAGCAAGTGGTTGCCAGTGCTAGACTGAAGCCCTCTACAAAGGAGCCCTGCCTTTGGCATTTACAGTAGCATGCAAAGCGCGACTAATATTAATATAATTTTCAGGTATCTTTTAGTCCATGGGAGAGAGTGGATTGTTAAGGGTTCGGGTCCGGCTTGACTCCAACCCAAACCAATCGGATTGGGCCCTAGCTGGATCCAAACCAAACTTGAACCGAGGTCGCGTCGAGGTCGAGATAAAAGAAAAATATTATTTTATAATATATAAATAACATTGCACGTATATTAAAAATCATGCCCCCAGTTTGGTCAGGTCTTCGTATCTTTTCTTACTACTTTCAACTATGTTCTTTTGGATGTAGCCCTTACTATGTTGAAACTTTTTAATTGAACTAACTCGCACCTTCTAACAAGTATTTTGCTTATTTGAACTAACACGCACCTTCTAACAAGTACTTTGCTCACTTGAACTAATTTACACCTTCTAACTAGTGCTTTGCTTTGTCATGCGCAACATATGACCATCACCTAAAGCCTACTCTCCCGTATATACATATATATTATATATAAATATCGTGTTATAATATCATGTTATAATATCGTGTTGGGCCGGGTTAGGTTGACCTTCATTCGGACACAACCCAACCTAACTTGATAAGATCATCTTTACCCAGATCCAAATGCAAACTAGGTCGGGTCTTGGATCTTGACCATTACTAGACCCACCAACTTTGGGTGGGAGCACTTTCCCATATATATATATATATATATGAAAAAGATTCTGTCACCCTATAGGCCGACAACTATAGTGTCAGCTAATGACCTATATTGAATCTAGGCCCAATCTAATGGTTACGACCTCATTTCATATTTGAATTTTCATATTATTATACAAATTCAAATCATTTGAAATTTTGAACGACAATTTTAAAAAATAATTAGAATCTAATAAAAATATTAAAAATTAATTCGAAAATATAAATAGACTAAAATACTCTCGAAACGTTTTAGGAATATTTTGGTCCATTTATATTTTACAAATTATTTTTTATAT